GACAAAAGAATGAATGAATGAATGAATGAATGAAAGACAACGACGAGAGATCGAATGAGAGAAGAGGAAAAAAGAACGTAACGCAAGAATGAGAGATAGAAAGAGAGAAGAGGTAGAAGGCAGGAACGAGACAAACGGGAGGAAAAAGAAATGGCAGACAATAACGCGAGGCCGAGCGGGAAAGGAGAAAGAAAGAATAATACACGAGCAATGAGAGAAGAAGGAACGAAAGAAAAGTATGAGAAAATTAAGAATGAATGAAAGTTAAGAATGAGAGACTGAATGAGAGAAGAGGAAGAGTGAAAGAGAGACAAGAGCGAGAGACTGAATGAGAGAAAAGAAAGAAGGAATGAAAGGAAAGAACGAGAGTCAGAACGAGAGAAAGGAAGAAGGAACGAGAGACCGAATGAGAGAAGAGGAAAAATGAACGAAAGACAATAATGTCAGAAGAGAAAGAAGGAACGAAAGAATAGAAAGAGCGATCAAATGAATGAAGAAGAAGGAGAAGGAATGAAAGTTAAAAACGAGAAACTGAATGAGAGAAGAGGATGCATGAATGAAAGACAAGAACGTGAGTCCGAAGGAGAGAAGAGGATAAATGAATGAAATACAAAGTTTTGAACACGAAGGGGAAGGAGGGGGGGAATGGAAAATAAGAACATGTGACCGAAAGAGAGAAGTAGAAGGAGAAACGAAAAACAAGAACGAAAGATCGAATGACAGAAGAGGAAGAAGGCAAGAAAGAGAGACCGAATGAGAGAAGAGGAAGAGGGAATGAGAGACAAGAACGAGAGACTGAATGAAAGAAAAGGAAAAATGAATGAAAGGCAAGAATGCCAGAAAGGGAGAAGGAACGAAAGAATTGTTTTCCCCGTCGCTTTTATTGATAGGAGACAGCTGTCAGAAACTTGGATCGAGACAAGTTGCAGGGAGCCCGGTATCTGAACATGCCAAGCTGTTCCGCTGCTAATGGGGAAAACCCGGATTTAACTGGTTTTGACTGACATGCCCGCATATGAACAGAAGGCCTATTGTGTGTCTCTAGTGGCGCTCGTTCGCCACCTTATAATAATAATAATAATGAGTTAAGAGTGAAAATAGATAATAACAATATATTACAAAATAAATGATATGCAAAACATACAACGCTCCATTGCAAGCATCGTTAACGGACAGAACACTAGAAAGCATAACAGAAGAAAATAATGTTATATATGTAAGCTGCTGAAAAACTTAACATCAGAACAAATAAAAGATTAAACAGCAGACAAAACGAGTCCCCTCGGAAGGCAAAATTAAAACTAGAAATTGAGGAAATCAGATGCGAGTTATCGAGGAGATTTCAAAAAACCTCAAATATTTCAAAACCGCAAAATCAAGAGGAAATATAAAACTAAAGCTGAAAATGTAATTCCACCAATCAAGGAAATACTTAAACAGTAACTACAGTTAAAGGCCAGGAGATCAAGACAATGTAAAAAAAAGTGTAGGCTCTATCGAGAAAATATTCCAAACAGAGCTCAAGATGTTTTACAGGGAAATTGGAAAATCAGTTATAGACATCAAAAAGCCACGATCTATTGAACTGCAAAAAAATTGAGGAGATATTTGGATCAACCCAAAGGAATATAATCACAATGCAGAGTGAATGAGAACAAGAAAGAATCAAGGATAAACCTGTGAAGAATGGGAAAATATAACCAAGAATAATGTTGGGCAAGCTCTAAAAAATTCTAAAATCCCCAGGAAATGACAAGGTTCCCAGCTTTTGGCTCAATCATCTGCCATCAACCCATAAAACCCTTGCACAAACTTTATCAATGCTAATTTTTAACCCCAGTGAAATTCTAGAATGGATAACTGAAGGTATTACATAGCTCCTACCAAAAACGGATGAAACATGATCCAAAAAATTATAGGCCAATAACATGTCTGCCCACCACATATTAATTGATCACATCTATTCTGATGAACTGTGCTAACTGTTTTCTCGATGATTTCAATATTTTTCTCCTGGAACAGAAGGGATGTCAAAGAGGTTCATATAGTTGCAAATATCAACTTCTAATAAATAAAATGATCCTGGAAAATTGCAAGAAAAAAGGTAGAAATCTAAGGACAGATTACCGTAATGTGCCACACTCTTGGATCCATAAGACTTCGAAAATGTATAAAGTCTCCTTGGTGATAGTAAATTTCCTTAAACACAGAAATGGGGAAAATCACATTATACCTAAATCACACCAAAGGTACTGTCACTTGCAATTGTTTGAATATCCGACGTGGAATCTTTCAAGGGGACTTCCTGTCGGACCTTTTGTTCTGTCTGTCCTTACTCCTCCATTGCATGAACGAAAGAATGGATACAAAGTAGAAAAGGAATGTGTTTAATCACTTATTCTACATGGATGATATCAAACTCTTTACCAAAAACAACAATGGATAGAAGGGTCTTCTCAATACTGTAAAATGTTTCCGTGACTACATCGGTATGGATTTTGGAGTAGATAAATGCGAAAAAGTAACATTCAAGTAAGGGAGAATATCAGAAACACACTCAGCAGATCTCGATTTTGTCACAAAGATTAGGGAACTGGAATAAGTTTATAGATACCTCGGAGTCAGTGAAGGAGATAAAAAGTAACATACCTAAAGGTAGTAAGGTAGAAAGTAAGAAAAGAATACTAAAGGTGTGAGCTTCTGGTTTTAAATCCAAAGTTGAATTCCCAAAACAGAATATCAGCCATAAATAGTTTGGTTGTCTCTGTGGTGTAATACAGTTTCAACATCCTTAATTGGACCATAGCTGACATAAAGTGAATGGATGCCAAAACGAGAAAGCTTTTCACTTGCCACAGCATGCATCTTCCCAAGGCTGATGTTGATCGTTTGTATGTGTCCAGATCCGAAGGAGGCAGAGGATTAGTTCAACTAGATATTTGTTTTTTACAAAAGCACAAAAATCGCTCTTCAAATATACCTGGAAACTACAGAAGATTGTGTCAAAGAGCATAAAAGAAATAAGCGACATTATTCAGTAATAAAGGAAGCCAACAAATTCGAAATGGAATTTCAAGTGGATGAATTTTCAAATCCAATTAAACGCAGACCCGGTTACAGAGATTAGTTCAACTAGAATTGTTTTACAAAAGAACAACAATCGGTCTTCAAAGATATCTGGAAACTACAGAAGACTGGATGATGATCTGTGCAATTTCAAGTGGGTGAAATGCAAATGAAACATAATGCACCGATTGCAGCGGCAAATAATCTAAAAAAGAATGCAAAAGCAAATGCAATGTACCAAATGCAGAAACGATGGCAAGATAAGCCTCTTCATGGTCAATACTCTGCCCGTTCCAACAAAAAAAAAATAATGTAGACAAACCCTGTGCCCATCAGCGGTTGCAAAGTGCACCGTTAAAAGACTGAAAACGAAGGTTTTATTCTTGCTGCACAGGACCAATGCTTGCTCACTCGAAATTACTAAGCACACATATTGGAAAATTCTGTTGACCCCAAATGCAGATTATGGGATAAATATCCAGAAAAAATTGGCAATATTGTATCAGGTTGCACAGTTTTAGCACCCACTAAATATAACACACGGTATGATAGAGTGACCAATATATGCTCTGGAAAATATGCAGATTTTACGGAAAAGTAATTTAAAAAAAACGGGATGAACATTACCCAGATCAGGTTACAGATATAGCACCTATAACAGTTTTAAGGGACTTTAAAATACACAAGGAGATAATCGGCCAGGCATCATGATCAAAACCGCAAGAATAGTATATTATTTCTTATTGATATGGAAATCGCGCAAAATGTAATCTTTGCAGATATTTAGAAAAAAACTATCAAAATACATGTATGTGTGTGTATGTGTGTCTGCATGTATGCATGTGTGTGTTGCTCTATTTGCTTTTCTATTTAAGCCATTTATATATATATATATATATATATATATATATATATATATATATATATATATATATATATATAGTATCTTCAAAAGACTAGCAAAATGCAAGGACCTTAAAATCAAAATCTCAAAAATGTGGAGCATGAGGCCATTAAAAATTCCGGTTGTAGGAAGACCCCTCAGATTGATTGGAAATTATCTCAGTAGACCCATTGAAGGAATTTACTAGTCGCCCATGCCTTAAAGATTTAAAAAAATAAAACTGCCAAAATACAAGGACCTTGAAATCGAAATCTCAAAAATGTGGCGCATGAGGACATTAACAATTCCAGTTGGAGTTGGAGCCCTCGGATTGATTGGAAAAGATTTCCATAGACTCATTGAAGGAATCCCTGGTAGCCTATACCTTAAAGAAATACAAAAAAAATTGTACTCACAAGTACAGCCCACACCTTACGAAGGGCTTTATCTATGGGCGATATATTTTTTTCAAAACTACTCAGTGGAAAATATGATGCCATTTCTGACCTTAGGTCTCTGGTTGGGACCCGGAAAGAAATGAGTATACACCAGAAACCAAAGGATATAAAATAATAATAATAATAACAACTGTTATAATGTTGATTTGGGGGGGGGGTAGTAGAGACAAACGCCAAATAACACGTAACAATAAAAAGGGTTTTAATAGGTTGGTAAAAAGGTACAGAAATCGCCTGAGTAGTTAATAACTAACTCAGCTAAGAACTTCTCTATCTGTCTTTTCCATGTCAACTGACATGCCACTATTTAAAGTCTTTGTTCACAGACGCAGACAGGTTCATCTTCAAGAGGGGTGGTAGGTTTCCGACACAACAATAGCAACAACAACAACAACAGTAGCAATAAAGCGGATAATCGTACAACAATAAAGACGACAATCGTCAGCGTGTTCACTTTTTCGGGTTTTTTTTTTATCTCTTTTACCTATTATTCCTCGTTATTGATGTAACACTAACATGCTGCAATAATTGCATTTATTCTGCATATTCTTTTACTATTAGTTTGTCGTCAAATATTCCCCACTCCAAACTATTTCTCTGTTCGCCATACTCTGGTAGGCCGTTCGCATTATATAAGATAGATTCTGGTGAGAAAAATTGTCTTACAGGAGACAGTGGAGCAACATTTTTAGCAGCAGCTTCTTCATGTGCTGTGTCTCTTTATGACATTGGAGATCATGGCTCTTCACAATTTCATTTCCTTTTTAGCGTTTATTAAGTTTTATCTTTTTGTCACCCCCCTCTGCTAAACATTGTCCAGACATTCATTTGCAAAAGCTATGTGGGTCATGTTTTGTTTTCTTCTTTTTCTCTTTTCTTCAAACTGTCTTGTGTGTATCAAATTTTCCAATCCTTCTTTTCTCATTATCTGTCTAGAAATTTCAACATTTACGTATAAGTACCTTTTGCCTCACCAGAATCTATCTTACATAATGCGTACGGCCTACAAGAATCGTGTTTGCAGCATATCCGGTAAATTGTTATAAACATCGACTGCTGAAACGGCTTTGGTAAAATGCTGTAAGCGTTAATTAATATACAGTTCGCTTGAATATATTGGATTTTTGTCCCAACTTTATTAGCTTTCAATTAAATGAGTTCGTGTTCTTCTGTCAGACGCCATATTGCTCAATTGCCCTATTTTAGTGTGTTCGTGACGAACGTGTCTTTTTATAGCGTGCTTATAGCAAACGTGATACGATCTGGAGTGTTCGTGAATAGGATCCAATCTTGTAAATTCCAAACATTTATTATGTTTTCTGCCGTTTTCTCTTCAGCTACCTCGTTTTGTAAACAAAGAGAAATCGTTCAAATGTCAGTCCTCCTAAATGGCAGCGAATGCTGGAAAATGACCTGACAGGTGCAACACTGAAACCCGAAGGGACACTGAGACAGTCAAAGATGCAAAAGCTAAGCAAAGTATAAAGAAACAGGAAAATATGACACTGAAGATTAGAAAATCTCCTCGCAGATGAAGAAGATACTTGAAGCAACTGGAATCTCGTTCTACAGAAGGATGCTGAGAATAGCCTGGATCGAACATGTGGGCAACGACGAAGTTTTAGAGAAAAATGAAGCAAAAGGTACTTATACGTAACTGTTGATATTTCTAGACAGATAATGAGGAAAGAACGCTTGGAAAATTTGATACTCACAGGACAGGTTGAAGCAAAGAGGAACAGAGGAAAACAACACACAACTTCCCTAGCGAGCTTGTGTAAATGAATGGCAGAACAATATTTAGAAGGGATGATAAAAAAACAAAATTTCTTAAGAGTTACAAAGGAAATGAAATTGTGGAGGGCCATGATCTCCAACGTCCTGAAAGAATACAGCACATAAAGAAAAAGCTGCTAGGAAAGGGCCAGACAATTTTTCTCGACAGAATCTATTTTACATATCCATAAGCATACTATAAGGAAGAGAGAAATGTCTAGGGCACATAATGAGGAAAGAGAGCTTGGAAAATTTGATACTCACAGGTCAGAGATCTACCTTCCATCTTCAAAGTCTATTCAAGGACCATCAAGGTTTTACCTTGACCTACCAAGGGAGGTTTTTGACGGGACTTGGTTTAGGCGAGATAACAAAAAGACAGCATTTATTATGCGCTACAAGGGTCTTGAAGAATATACACATATTGGATTCTTCATGCTTCATGATAAGGGACCCCAGTATCTGAAAGTTTTTTTTTTCTTTATAATTAAATAGTTTTCATGAATGAAAACGCTCTTATTCAGAAAGAACGAATGAGTAAGAATAAACATTTCGAAGAATTAAGCGTGGAATAAATGATTGCCGATTTCTGTAATCTTCGTCCCAAATACAATTTTCCCTGAGAGCTCTTTCAATTTTCTAGATGGTGTTCCAAGAGCATCTATTGCCACAAGAATTACTTCAACAGCCATATTCCATACTTATTTTTTCAACTTCCTAAACATATTCAGGTATTTTCCAATCCATTTTCCAATCCTTTTTATTAACTGGTTCGTTTTCTTTGTTTTATCAACCCTTTGCAGGTTATTTAAAGCCATAAAATATTTTGAGATTGTAAGAAGTTTTTTTTTTTTTTAGATAATAATGATTTAGTCATACAATTATTACTAATTAACCCATAGCTGAGAGGGGAGAAGAGTTGAATTCATACCAGTAACAAATGTATTTGCGCGTAAGTTAAAATAACGAACCAACTAGAATTGGAACTTGGCTCTCCGACTGAAAATTCCAAACCATTATACATTACATCCATCATCATAATGCTGATTTAGTGATACAAGTATTACTAATTTACCCATAGCTGGGGAGAAGACGTTGATTCATAGCATTTCGTAGGGTATCCGGAGTAAATTCCGTGCCTTTTAGATTTAATTCTCTAACATTTGAACTGTTTAAGACGATAATTATTGCTAAGAACTACAAAGGATAGGAGGTTGTAGAGAACCATAATCGTTCACATTATGAAGAGATACATAGAAGAACGTTTTTTTTAGTTTTTAAGAATAACATCCTCTTATTTGAAAACAAGAACGAATAAGTAAGAATAAACATTTCTGAGAATTAAGAGTGGAATAAATGATTGCCGATTTCTTTAGGTCTGTAATCTTAGTCCCAAATACAATTTTCCATAAGCGCTCCTTCAGTATTCTAGGTGGTGTTCCAAGCGCATCTGTTACCACAAAAATTACTTCAAAAGTCATATTCTATACTTTTTTCAACTTCCTAGTCATATCATGGTATTTTCCAATCCTTTTCATTAATTGATTCGTTTTTTACGGTTTATCAACCCTTAAAGCCATAAAATATTTTCAAATTCTAAAAATTTATCAAGAGCTACAAAGAACATGAAATTGTGGAGAGTCATGATCTCCAACGTCCTAAAGGAATACGTCACGTAGAAGATGTGTCGTGTATTATAAGCGATGTTACCTTCGGTTTTGCTTTTAACATGGTAATTTTACAGTACTCCCGGTGTCATCGGCTCTCGACTCGGTATATATGCTGATGACATACCTATTCACTCCCGTCTTAATGGAAAATCTGACAGGTTCGCAAAAATTACAATTCTCAGCTGATCTCGAAAATGACCTCCAATCAATTGTTAACTGGGGCAAGAAATGGTTTGTCAATGTTAACGGCCCCGAATCTATATGGCCCTGTTCGAACCGTCTTAGACGACCTAGTTTGCCTTGTATCAGCATGGCTGATGCTAACCTCCAAGTGAGTAACGCATTGCGCCTTCTCAGTGTAACATTTTCCACTGAGATAAATTGGAATGATTTTATCAAATCAAATGATAGGTTTGGTGCTAAAAAAATTGGTTCACTGTGAAGTGCTAAACAGTTTTCTCGTCAGAATCTGTCTTGCGCATTCGTAACTTTACCTTTCACACACGCATTGAATATCATTGCCACGTCTGGTCTGTTGCTTCTGTTATGTAGCTAGAGATTCTTGATAGAAACCCAAGGAGAATCTGCAATGTTATCGGTCCTAACCTGGCATCACGTCTTCAATCATCTTTTCACCCCCCCCCGTAACGTAAAGTTTCCCCGTGACTTTTCTATAAATATTTTCATCGCAATTGTTCTGATGGCCTTTTATACTACGACTTCATGAATTTGAGCGCTGTACTGGATTGGTTGTTAGGTCTCATCATCTTGCAGTTTAAATAGCTACATGTAACCGTAACCGTAAGTTCTATGCTAACATTTTCTTCTCTTGTACTTCTCGCTTGTGGAACTCTCTTTCGGCATTTTGTTTTCCTGTCAACCCCCGATCTTCAAAACTTTTTTTTTTTTGTCGTCTCGATTCAATAACATGTTCTCAGTTTCTTTCCTTGTCGGTATCCCCTTGCGTCATAGTGGCTTTATTCTCTTTCTTGGGGTGAACTGATTTCAACTTTTTTTCAAAACATTCATCGTCAAAGGATGTTTATTAATTAAATAACGTTGCCCTTAATGGCAATTCACGCCTGGTTTACATTTTGTCCTCTGCCCAACGTTGGGATTTATACCTCTATTCCGCGGCTATTAAATTTCTGGACAGTTGTTTTTTGGTGTAAACATTAATGTCCTGCATAGTGTCCAACTTTTGGCTTACCTGCCCAAAAAATTAAATGCAACATCAGTCAATATCTTCTGTCTTCCTGAATCTTGTCTTTATTCCTCACTAACGTTTTCTCATTTTTTTTCACTCTCAGTAACCCGTTGTGGCTTAGTGGCATTTTCGCCTTGATTAGGGTGAAGTGATTAGTGAAACGATAGCAAAAAAAAAAAAAAAAAGAAAACGATTCTCATTTAACTAGAATAATTTAATATTGTAGTGTTTAGTGGAGCACCCGTTTCGTGAAATGCATATCTCAGATGGTCAGGGATACACCATCAAAGATCTTTTTAATCGTAGATTATAAAATGGTTTCGGGTATTACAAAATTATACTCCTACCCGGTGATGGCATACTACCTGTTCGCGCGAACCAATTCTTAAAATTATAAAAGCTTAGCGAACCGAATGTTAGGTTATCCGGAAATAATCTTATATATTAATAGCCGATTTATAATAGCTACAAAATATAATTAATACAAGTGCTGTAAGCCCTGCAGAGGCTGAAGGAGGCTTTTCTGTAAATTAACATAATTTATTCTGACAAAAGAAATCTTGTAGTCATAAATTTGATATGTCTTCCACTGGATCTTTCGGATTGCAGAGATTCCGTTCGAATGTAGCTAAGAAACCATAACACGGCTGATGACACTAGAGTCAAATAACATCAGACTTCTGAACAGAAATATGATGTGAATAGAATTTCAATCTGGAAATATCTTAATAGATAAATGTTTTCTATTAAAATGTTTGAATTCTTTTCGATACTATAAAGTGATTTGTTTCCATTCTCAGATTGAAAAGAAAATAAGCAGGATAGGTTCCTAAAGATTACCAATTCCTTTATAGAAATGGTCCCTGGAAATTTGGGATGCCATTATTTCTCCTACCCCATGGTGCCCTAAACATTGATCTCGTATCCGTCGTCAACTACAAACGCTTCTTATAGTGGAATGCTATCTTATCCCACTGCAACAAAATAACTCCTTAGGTCTTTATAGATTAACTTCTGGTTCAACAACTAACACGCTCTCCTGTAAAAAAAAAAAACAAAAAAAAAAGAGAAAAGGAAGGAAATGCATTGAGCGATTCCTTAGCAAATATAGTCACACTCTCGTCTTGCATTGGTAAGTAACGACCTTTAACAAACTATACGACCATACCTAATAATACGTATACTCACTTATCTTTATTTTAACTCGAACATACTAAAAAAGAACTAACGGAATTAGTCTCTCTCTCTCTCTCTCTCTCTCTCTCTCTCTCTCTCTCTGGTTAAAATGATTAATAAATCACCTCAATCAATTTACGTGTAATAAAAGAACTTACGAATATAAGCTTTCCCTCTCTCTCTCTCTCTCTCTCTTTCTCTTACAATAATTAATTAATCACCTCAATCAATTTACCTGTAATAACAAAAACTAACAGAAGTATACTTACTCTCCCACTCTCTTCATTTCGAATAATTAATAACCTGTAATAAAAAAAAGTAACCCAAGCTCTCTATCTCTCTCGTCATTTCAAATAATTAATAAATCTCCTCAATTAACTTACCTGCAAAAAATAACAGAAGCATTCTCCCTCTCTCTCTCTCCCCACTCTCTCTCTCCCTCTTCGTTTCAAAAAATTAATAAATTATCTCAATTTACGTGTAATAAAAGAACCAACGTATGTAAGCTCTCTTTGTTACCAATAATTAATTAATTAATCACTTTAATTAATTTATCTTTAATAAAAATAACGAAAATATACTCTCTCTCTCTCTCTCTCTATATATATATATATATATATATATATATATATATATATATATTTCATTTCGAATAATTGATTACTTCAGGCAGTTTAACTCTAATAAAAAACTAACGTAAACCCTCTTTCTCTCTCTTCGTTTTAATTAATTAATCACCTTAATCAATTTACCTCTAAAAAATGAATATCATCTCCCCCTTTCTCTCTCTATCACTTTCTCTCTCTTTACCTCTCTCTCTCTCTCTCTCTCCCCCTCTCTCTCTCTCTCCCTCTTCGTTTCAAAAAATTAATAAATTACCTCAATTTACGAACCAACGGACGTAAGCTCTCTTTTTCTCTCTTTGTTACCAATAATTAATTAATTAATCACCTCAGTTTATCTTTAATAAAAAACTAACAAGTATACACTCTCTATGCCTTTCTCTCTCTCTCTCTCCCTCCCTCTCTCTCTCTCTCTCTCTCTATCCCTCTCTCTCTCTCTCTCTCTCTCTATCCCTCCCACTCTCTCTCTCTCTCTATCCCTCCCTCTCTCTCTCTCTCTCTCTATCTCTCTCTCTCTATCCCCCTCTCTCTCTCTCTCTATCCCTCCTCTCTCTCTCTCCCCCTCTCTCTCTCTCCCCCTCTCTCTCTCTCCCTCTTCGTTTCAAAAAAATTAATAAATTACCTCAATTTACGAACCAACGGACGTAAGCTCTCTTTTTCTCTCTTTGTTACCAATAATTAATTAATTAATCACCTCAGTTTATCTTTAATAAAAAAAAACTAACGAAGTATACACTCTCTATCTCTTTCTCTCTCTCTCTCTCTCTCTCTCTCCCTCCCTCTCTCTCTCTCTATCCCTCCTCTCTCTCTCTATCCTCCCTCTCTCTCTCTCTCTCTCTCTCTCTCTCCCTCCTCTCTCTCTCTCTATCCCCTCCCTCTCTCTCTCTCTCTCTCTCTCCCCTCCTCTCTTTCTCTCTCTCTCTCTATCCCTCCCTCTCTCTCTCTCTCCCCGTTCTTCTCTTTCTATTTTCATTTCGAATAATGAATTGATTACTTCAGTCAATGTAGGTCTAATAAAAACTAACGTTAACCGGTTTCTCTCACTTCGTTTTAATTAATTAATTAATCACCTTAATCAATTTACTTCTAAAAAAATAAGAAAGTATCATCTCTCTCTCTCTCTCTCTCTCTATCTCTCTCTCTTCGTTTCAAATAATTAATTAATGAATCACTTTAATCAATTTACCTATGGGTAGATATCTACTTAACAGTCTTTGGGAAGGAAACTATCTTCATGCAACTTTTTTCTAACATTTATTAGGAATCACATGGAAACAGTGATTTGATATATCTCGAATAGGCTCTAGCTTTAAAGGCCTGAGTCAGTGAAACAAAAGAATGGAACGCTTATCTGAACATTTGCCAAGGAAATAGCAATAGCTCGGAGATAAGCTTGCAACGTTGCTCCTCTAGAAAAGAAGCCGCCGCCTGATGAATAATACTACTAGATTGGCAATTAGGTCTCATCATTATACTGTTGATTAAACGGTTAAGTCTATTCTAATAGTTTCTTTGCTCGTCTGTGAAATTATCTTTTGATTTCTTGCGTCCCTGATCCCTACAGTCTTTAAAGATTTAAATTCAACGCCAATCGCCATCTTCTGTCTTCCTGAACAGTGTTCTTTTATCTATTTGCATTATTCGGACTATTGTCCTAATCTTTGTCGCCATATTTATTACAAAGTTTCGGCCGTTGTACGCTCCAGCCTTCTTCAGGTGGTTGGAATGTCGAACTGAACCCTTTATTTTGTTCACTGGGGTAGACTGTTCTAGTTCCACGTGCCATGTCTTATGGATGTCAATTATTAGTTATCTCCTGTCAATTCCCCTCTCCAAGTTCTCCACTGCTTTAACCGGGTATTGAACTCACACTCTTTGGATCCTGTCACTGGATCTAACTAATGCCTTTATCCACTGTGCCATTAAGGACATCTATGTATGAATTTCTGGAAATTATAAACCTAATGTCTTCAGCAACCGTTTTTACCAGATCTCATATTGCAATTTTTGTTGTTATTATCGCTTTTCAATACCGACGGCCGAAACGTTGTAATAAATATGGCGACAAACATGAGGACAATAGTCCGAATAATGCAAATAGTGTACATAATACCTCATCTCAGAAAGATAGACAGATACTGTTCTTTTATCGTCGTATCTCCTCATTAAAGTCACTCTTTTTTTTATCACACTCAGTAAACCCTTGCGTCTTAGTGGCATTATCGCTTTGCTTGGGGTGAAATGATTAAAATAGTATAAAAATCACAAAAGTACAACGTTTCTCATAGTCCAGGCAATTACAAAAGGGGTTTTGAGTATTTGTTTCTGTTGCGTTCCTTTTTGCAACAATGACCTCGAGAATGGTAAGAATTTATTTATTTTATCACCATTTGTTGGTTGAATATCAGAGTAAACCTGGGTGGCAACCTGTCTGAGAAAGACTTTGAGTTCCAAAGAGTGGAGAAGGCAATCGGAAACAACGCCACCAGTCAGTCATTTTTTCCCGCAGTAGGTTGCCATATCTTTCTGCGTTAGACCAGTTGCCATCCAAGGCTATAGAACCCGGTCTGTCTTTCTATTTACACATAGGGGAGAAAAAGAGGATTCATACCTTTCCCAAGGGTCAGTCAGTTATGTGCCATACGTGTTACGCGCTTAGGCGATCATGTATCAAAAGATACATGACTGACGAGGTAGATTTTTTCCCGCAGTAGGTTGCCATTTCTTTCTGCGGTAGACCAATTGCCATCCAAGGCTATAGAAACCGGTCTATTTACCCATAGCTGGGGAAAGAAGAAGAGAATTCATACCTTTCCCAAGGGTCAGTCAGCCAGTCAGTTATATGCGTGATACACGCTTAGGCGATTATGTATCTTTCGTTTCATGAATAACGAGGCAGATTTTTTTTCCCGTAGTAGGTTTCCAATTCTTTCTGCGGTAGACAAGATGCCATACAAGGTTATAGAACCCGATCTCTCCTGCTATTTATCCATAGCTGGGGAAAGAAGAAGAGAATCCATACCTTTCCTAAGGGTATTAGCATGTAAGTGAATGTAATGGACTAAAAGAGCTCAAGACAATTCCACAGATAATAAATTAAAGGGATATGTGTAGAACCTTGACTGTTTACATCCTGAAGAGAACTGACTTTTTTTTTTTTTCAAAAATTGGTGATAGTTTGCACATAAGCGACACACTTGTATAACGATGAACTTTATTTTCAAAATGAAACCAAATCAGTTGATGACTCCTAATAGAATTAAGAATTAAAATTGATAGTACATGTAACGTGAAATTGAAAATAATGACAATCCACACTACATTAAACAAAGAATTGGGCAGAAAACTCCGATCAGTACTAGAAAGAGCTATAACAAGAACCTTGAGAAACCTATTTTCTTGAAGAACTGTCTCAAAAGGATTATTTTACGAAATAAACATCAACCGAAACCAGGCTACTCAAAGAATGACTGTCGAATACGGTAACGAGTCTTTAAAATGTCAGAAAAAAAATTAGTGCTAAAGTTCTTAATAAAATTAAGCATCTTATATTCACCTGAAAAAAAAAACTTTGTCTTCATTTCTCTCTTCTTGAATGGCAAAACATATGAAAAGTACGTGGTTAGAATTACTTACAAATGAACGATGCAGTATGACAAAAAATAGAAAAAGAAATATAGTTTTTATTAACGCTAAAATCAATAAACATATGTGGCTTACGATGAACACAATAGCGCAGGCTGATTTTTCACTGTTTTTAGAAAATCATCATTGCAATTAGGGTGAAAGCTGTGGTTTGATGTGGTAAGTAGTAACATCAAAAATTCGATTCATAGCTTTTACCTATTTTTGAGTATTTGATTTTAAATAATCGTCTAAAAATGTAGACAAATATCTAATTTCTGCAGGTTTTTGCCTACAAATTAACTATTAAAAGAATAAATGCAAATAAAGTTGATATCTTTGGTATCAGGTAGATACACTGAATGGAAAATATATTCAAACCAGAATTCTAATTATGGATCACCATAAGCAAAAGACCCATTTTTTTTTACTGTATTGAATAAGTAAAAACAGTGTAAAAAAATTGTAAAATATTACAAAACAGGCTAATCAATGAATAAGATTTTACACTATTTGTTAATTCATAATTAATAAAAACAAAAACTAGATAAAAGTGTATATAACACTATAATAATACTAAGCACAAATTATAAGACAAAATATTTTGAATTTTTATTGTTTATTGAAATGCGGACTAAAACTACAGCACTGTACTGTATAATTAAATTATAATTAATTAAATAAACTAAATTGTTCAGTATAATTTCCCTTTGAAGTAAATGAAGGTCTTCTTTGATATCAAAATGATTTAGAAATAATGTGCATGCGATAAGCATTTTGTCCAAATACAGGGTGCGATGGATAAATTGTCAGCTAAATTACACAAAAATATAAGACTGGCATGTCATTTTAACAGATATATTTACCAAAATTACACAAAAATATCTTAAAATACTAAAGAGTAAATTTATTCAATAAAATCGCCATTGGCTTCAACCACGGCCTGCAGACAACTTTGGAATCTCGCGCATCTCTTCGATTTCTTTAAGTTGGCGAATGCTGCCATAATTCTTGCCTTCAGTTTATCTCTGGTGTCACAAAGAGTTTTGTTGGTCTCTCGCTCAACTGTGTCCCATGCATAATAATCAAAATGGTTTCAGTCTGGAGAGTTAAGTAAGCAAATGTAAAGGTTGATATGGTCATAGAAATTGTCTAACAGCCATGACTGGGTTTTCTGCTTGTGTAGCATGGTGCAGAGTCTGGTTACCAGACACAGAATCTTCCAGCAGCCACCACCTCTTGACCCAGTGCAGCACTACCGCCTCAATGCACTTGACGGGGGCCTCCGGGTTGAGTCTGAGACCCTGTGAGAAGATGGATGAGGGCATAAAGTCACCATCACTAGTGATCACTCCAAACACCGTGTTGTTAGCTAGATATATCATCCTACTCTTTCTGAATCTTCTGCACTGTCCTCAGACTGGCACTATGAAAGTTTTGTATTGGCGCTTTCGGTGCGAATACCAAGCAATACAGCATACCGTTTCCAAATTTCTGGCGGATTAAATTGCGTCATGGTGCTCTTTTTCTCCCAACTGACCCTACTACACTGTGAAGTTTGTCAAAATGAAAAATAACTACGCGAATGCGCGAAATTAAAAAAATATGACAATTCATTCATCACAGCCTGTACAATTTGTAAGCCTTCAGTAAATTGCAAATTCTATAAAGCTGTACTATAAGGCTTTCACTGATCACTGGTATGAAATTCCAACGTTACGATTTTGAACCTAAACTTAATCTTTAAACTCGTTTCTCAAAAAGGGTAACGATTTGGGGAAAGTATGATGTGTTTCTATTAATCATTTCAAATCCCAACTTTTAAATTGAATGTAATCTCATAGTTCTATAAGAGAATGCACTATTAACAGAATTAATCGACACTGGACGAAAATAAAACAACTTTTATCTAGTATAAAGGCGAATTTCAAGTCAAAATTTCATTTGTAATGAGAAAAAAATAGAAAATTTTTACATTAACATTTTTTATGTATGTTCTATACAAAAAGTAATATGTACGCAAAAGAGTTACCAGCCTGGGTATTGACGATAAACTACACCCGCGTCCTGGGTAAGACGATAAACTACGTCCAACAGCAAGGCATCTGATCAGGAGGTTTTGAGGAGCGTGGAATTGCTGGTGTTCCCATGTCCGCCCTGACCGGGAGTGGTAGCAACTGTTAGGGTCCTAGCTATGGACAAATAGTTAACCTCGAAATTGGGGTGAAAAACAGTATGGAAGTGTAAAGATAGGTTTTAATAACAAAAATACTTTGTAAAAAATTATTACCAGCAATAAATTCTTGAAGAAAAAAAAAACTTACCAGAAATACATTTTTGAAGGAAAAACATATTACCAGAAATAGATTTTTTGATAAAACAATATAATTAGCAGCAATAAAAATTTCGTCGGCATTAAATAACCCATTGATGTTGATATGCCGTAAAACAAACCAAACCAAACCAAACCAAACCAAACCAAACTAAACCAAATCAAACTAAACCAGACCAAAAGAGTTATTCTGTGTCCATTTCTCGCTACGTACTTATATGAAGTAGGGTTTTTGACAATATGAAACGTGAAAAAAATACCAATCATATCTTCACAGGACCCTGGATCTGTTGTTGGAATTGTCAAAAATATATTAGCTAATACAGTGGATAAAGGCGTTGGTTAGATCCAGTGACAGGACCCAAAGAGTGTGAGTTCAATACCCGGTGAAGGCAGTGGAGAACTTTCAGAGGGAAATTAACAGGAGATAACTGATAACTGACATCCATTAAAACATGGCACGTGGAACTAGAACAGTCTACCCCAGTGAGCGAAATAAAGGGTTCAGTTCGACGTTCCAACCACCTGAAGAAGGCTGGAACGTACAACGGCCGAAACGTTTTGATAAATATGGCGAAAAAGATGAGGACAACAGTCCAAATAATGTAAATAATGTACATAATACCTCATCTCAGAAATATAGACAGACTTTGGCAAAAATAATTTCACACATTGAGTATTTCTTCTTAAAATGTCATCAATGTATCGAAGAAACACTTGATAAACACGGTACATAATGTCCCTGGGTTGACGGTAGGGTGTTGGCTGTCATAGCTCTCCACAATTTCCTGTCCCTTGTAGCTCTTAATAAATTTTGTCTTTTTGTTATCTCTCCTAGCTTCTTCTTCTTCTTCTTCTTCTTCTTCTTCTTCTTCTTCTTCTTCTTCTTCTTCTTCTCTATGAGCTGTTTCAGGATGTTTGCGATGATAGCTCTCTCCACAATTTCATGTCCTTTGTGGCTCTTAATAAATTTTGTCGTTTTGTTAACTAATACTAAAAAAATCAATAATAACGGAATTATTCATTCTGTTTCAATTAATTTACACAAGGGTTTATTTTATGTATGTGAAGACATATACTTTAGTAATTCAGAAGACATGAATTGTTGTTGCTTGTGGGGATTTTTTTTAATATGCTGAAGCCGTAATATTATATCGGTTAACATCAAGTAAAATATGGATAAAAAGGATTCTATTATTAATGTGTAGTTAATAATAAACGAGCATCACGGAGTTATTATCAAATATTTACCAGGCTATGAAAATGTTATCAATGTATAGAAGAGATACTTGGTGAAATTATTAATGATTTTGTTTTCTGCATAAGTTATATAGAAATTAGGACCCAGAGGCGAACCCATGGATACACCATTAGGCTGCGTGGGAATGTTCTTTTATGTACCGTGTCTCTTCTTTATGTTACTGATCGTCACTCTACACAATTTTGCTGTCTTTTGTCGCTCTTAACAAATTTCATCTTTTTGTTATCTCTCCTACATCCTGTTCTGGCATCAATTTACAAAAGCTTCTTCTTCTTCTTCTTCTTCTTCTTCTTCTTCTTCTTCTTCTTCTTCTTTCATGTGCCATATCTCTTCAGTTCGTTGTCGGGTATGGTTCTCTACAAGTACCTGTCCTTTGCAACCCTTAGCAATGTTTGTCCTTTTCATATCACTTCTAATTTCTGTTCAGACAACCATTTACATACGCTTATTAAAGAGGCAAATCAAAGCATTTCCATGTCTCTCGTGCCTTTAATACGTCCTGTGAATATAAAATTCTCCAAGCCTTCTTTACTCGTTCCCTAGAAATTTCAACTTTCTTTTTTCTGGTTCTAAGTACCCGGTGTAACAGCAAAATTTTCCAAATCGTGTAACAGCAAAATTGTCCAATTGTTAGATTAAGCTCTAAACCGTTGTACTTTAGAAATGAGTAAAGATATCTTACTGGAATTCTCCGAGATGTTTGAACTCTATTGGACTCCTCTACATTGAGCAATAAGAATGTATAATTATTCCCCAAGTTTAACAGAAGAATCGTGATGAAATCGATCATAAACGAAAATGACATGTTCATCATTAATTAATCATAGCTCAGGGCCGGAAGCTGATGAAGGATAGATATAAAGTTCATATATATATATATATATATATATATATATATATATATATATATATTTTCTGTCCTGGAGTAACAAGGTGTCTCACACGTTTCTCGTACGATTTCATTTTCATGTCTTTTTTTCACTACTGTTTGGACTGTCATAACTGAAACTCATCTCTCACGTGCCAAGCGTCTTATGGATTGAGTTTGATCTTTTCTAATTGATCTCTTTAGCACTAAGTTGAAATGATGACCCATCCTTTTCGTTGGAACCTTCTGATCCAGTTTTCTTTTCTGTTCCCTGCTTTTTTAAACTTAGTCACCGTTCTCTTGATGGTTCTAGAATGGACTTTGAAGATGGAAGCCAGAGTATGGATGTTGGTACCATTACTGAAGACCTGAATGATCTTTTTCCTCTCACCATTGCTCAAGTGAGGCAAAATGATTTTAACCTGTTCTCTTTCTAGCTGAATAACTCAAAGGGTTTTTTCAGTGATTCTGACGACAAATGATATCAAGATGGCTAAACCTCTGATCTGAAAACCGGGATAAAAGAAACTCAACTAGTTAAGTGGCTTTTTCGATATGAAACATTTTATGGGATGGGCAATTATCGCATGCTGTTACACGATTTGGACAGTTTTGCTGTTGTGCCCTGTACAAGCGTCCATTTTTCTGAGCAGAACTTCCTTGTTACTCACATGTTCAGTTGATGGTATTCTTAGCATAGAACTACATTTCCACATTTCTGTTGCCTCAAGTCTCTTCTTCATCCGTGAAGAGATTGCCCAGCATTCGTCACCATAGAGAAAGACTGTTGTTAGATTTTCTTAACCTTTTAAAGCCATCTTTTGCTTTGCCAATGAGCCTTTAGATGTCAATGTTACATTTGCCGTTTTCTAGTTGCCAAAAAGCACATGCATATCTCGCGTTATTTTAATGCTGACTGTATCTTGATTGGAGTTCTAAACTCCTAAGCATTATTGTGTTCGTTAAAGAATATATATAGTAAAATATATTTTCATATGAATATAGTGACAAACGAAGTCAAAATTTATTGAAACAAAACAAGTTCAGTTGACCACTGATGTCAATTCCAGAACAACGTAACTATAAACAATTTTTTTCTAACCTCTGCCAGCCGCAATGATGGAGAAAGCATTACCTCGAACCCTGGCAAGTTAGACACGCTGCAAGAGTCACTCCGTTTCGCGACGCTTGTCCCTTAATCGAGACGCAATCGCGCCAATCCTCCGAAGGAACGCCATCGAATGAGGGCCAATAATAACACCAGAAGTCTCCACTGCCACAGCATAATAAAAAAAAAATTATCAGCAAGAGAAGAATATTTAACTATTTTTATTTTCATTTCTGCATCCCGGGCGACGGATCCTGGCTCAACCACGGAACTGATCAAATTACCGACCAAAAATGTATCCGCACAGGTCGCATCCCAAATCAACCACTTACCCATTTTAAAAGGGAAAATGGTAATGCCATCCGGCCACTTTCCATCACCGCAGTCGAGGCCTACGGGTTCGATTTGGCAAGGGAACACAGCTGCATCCAAACCTCAGCATTAAAATCCCTCTTTGGAGGGATTTTAATGCAGACTTATCATCTCTCAGTTGCGTCTCTGTCCTTGGACAGAGTGCGCTCACGGGCTTCTCTCTCAAAGGACAGAGGGGCAACTGAGGAAAATTATACTGAAGAGGTGCCCAGCCCTGGGGAACAGCTGCCCGAGGCCGCGCCCTCCCATTGCACAAGAGGGAGGGATCGGTGCTCGCACCGAGGTCAGCGCAACCGATTGTTGCGGGGGCTGAGGGGAATTTTTGTCCCTGCCCGAGTGTACGCGCTCGGGACCCCACATTAAACCGACCTTGTGTCACATCTCGTTCTAATTGGGGAACGAGTAAATACCACATCCAAACCTATTTTGATGATGTCGTTAATGTAGTGACATTATTTCATAAAGAATTAGAGGTTAGTTCAATCTGTTTGTTTTTTGTTTTTTGTTTTGTTTTTTTTTGGGGGGGGGGCTTTTTCTTTTTTTTTTTTAATTCTTCCCTACTTTTTTCTCTTTCTTTTTCTTTCTCTTTTTTTTCCATTTTATTCTTCTTCCCGTTCTCTTTTCCTCTTTCTTTTTCCGCTTTATTATTATTCTCTTTTTTTTTTCTTTTCCATTTTATTCTTCTTTCCGTTTTCTTTTCTTCTTTGTTTTTCTTCTCTATTCTTCTCCTTTTTTTCTTTTCTTTTTCTTTTCTTCTTTGTTTTTCTTCTCTTTTCTTCTCCTTTTTTTCTTTTCTTTTTCTTTTCTTCTTTCTTTTTCTTTTTCTTTTCTTCTTTGTTTTTCTTCTCTTTTCTTCTCCTTTTTTCTTTTCTTTTTCTTTTCTTCTTTCTTTTTCTTTTTCTTTTCTTCTTTGTTTTTCTTCTCTATTCTTCTCCTTTTTTTTCTTTTCTTTTTCTTTTCTTCTTTGTTTTTCTTCTCTATTCTTCTCCTTTTTTTCTTTTCTTTTTCTTTTCTTCTTTGTTTTTCTTCTCTTTTCTTCTCCTTTTTTCCTTTTCTTTTTCTTTTCTTCTTTCTTTTTCTTTTTCTTTTCTTCTTTGTTTTTCTTCTCTTTTTCTTTCCATTTTATTATTCTTTCTTTTTCTTTTTCTTCTTTTTTTTTTTCTCTTTTTTTTCCATTTTATTATTCTTTCTTTTTCTTTCTTCTTTGTTTTTCTTCTCTTTTCTTTTCCATTTTATTATTCTTTCTTTTTCTTTTCTTCTTTCTTTTTCTTCTCTTTTATTCTCCTTTTTTCTTTTCTATTTCTTTTCTTCTTTCTTTTTCTTCTTTTTGCTTCTCCTTTTTTCTTTTCTTTTTCTTTTCTTCTTTCTTTTTCTTTTTCTTTTCTTCTTTGTTTTTCTTCTCATTTCTTTTCCATTTTAATATTCTTTCTTTTTCTTTTATTCTTTGTTTTTCTTCTCTATTATTCTCCTTTTTTCTTTTCTATTTCTTTTCTTCTTTCTTTTTTCTTTTTTTGCTTCTCCTTTTTCTTTCTTTTTCTTTCTTCTTTCTTTTCTTTTTTTCTTCTTTGTTTTCTTCTCTTTTCTTTTCCATTTTATTATTCTTTCTTTTTCTTTTCTTCTTTGTTTTTCTTCTCTTTTCTTTTCCATTTTATTATTCTTTCTTTTTCTTTTCTTCTTTCTTTTTCTTCTCTTTTCTTTTCCATTTTATTATTCTTTCTTTTTCTTTTCTTCTTTCTTTTTCTTCTCTATTATTCTCGTTTTTTCTTTTCTATTTCTTTTCTTCTTTCTTTTTCTTCTTTTTGCTTCTCCTTTTTTCTTTTCTTTTTCTTTTCTTCTTTGTTTTTCTTTTTCTTTTCTTCTTTGTTTTTCTTCTCTTTTCTTTTCCATTTTATTATTCTTTCTTTTTCTTTTCTTCTTTGTTTTTCTTCTCTATTCTTCTCCTTTTTTCTTTTCTATTTCTTTCTTCTTTCTTTTCTTCTTTTTTTGCTTCTCCTTTTTTCTTTTCTTTTTCTTTTCTTTTTTTTTCTTTTCTTTTCTTCTTTGTTTTTCTTCTCTTTTTCTTTTCCATTTTATTATTCTTTTTCTTTTCTTTTTCTTCTTTGTTTTCTTCTCTTTTCTTTTTCCATTTTATTATTCTTTCTTTTTCTTTTCTTCTTTGTTTTTCTTCTCTTTTCTTTTCCATTTTATTATTCTTTCTTTTTCTTTTCTTCTTTGTTTTTCTTCTCTTTTCTTTTCCATTTTATTATTCTTTCTTTTTCTTTTCTTCTTTGTTTTTCTTCTCTTTTCTTTTCCATTTTATTATTCTTTCTTTTTCTTTTCTTCTTTGTTTTTCTTTTCTTCTTTGTTTTTCTTCTCTTTTCTTTTCCATTTTATTATTCTTTCTTTTTCTTTTCTTCTTTGTTTTTCTTCTCTTTTCTTCTCCTTTTTTCTTTTCTATTTCTTTTCTTCTTTCTTTTTCTTCTTTTTGCCTCTTTTTTTTTCTTTTCTTTTTCTTTTCTTCTTTCTTTTTCTTCTTTTTGCTTCTCCTTTTTTTCTTTTCTTTTTCTTTTCTTCTTTCTTTTTCTTCTCTTTTCTTCTCCTTTTTTCTTTTCTTTTTCTTTTCTTCTTTGTTTTTCTTTTCTTCTTTGTTTTTCTTCTTTTTCTTTTCCATTTTATTCTTCTTTCCTTTTTCTTTCCTTCTTTGTTTTTCTTCTCTATTCTTCTCCTTTTTTCTTTTCTTTTTCTTTTCTTCCTCTGTTTTCTTCTTCCTTATTTTTCCTTCTCTTTTATTCTTTTCTTCTTGTCCTATCTTTTCTCTTATCCTTCCATTTTTCTTTTATTCATCGCTTTTTCTTCTTTTTCCTTTTCTTCTCGATTTCATTTTCTTCTTCTCTTTTCTTTCTATTTCATTCTTCTTCCTTTTTTCTTTTCTTCTTTTTTCCCTTTCTTCTTTTTCTTTCTCTTTCATTCTTCCCTTTTTCTTTTCTTTTTCTTTTTTGCACTTTTATATTTCTCTTTTTCATTTCTTCTTCTTTCGTCATTCTCTTTTATTCCCCCTTTTTTTTCTTCTCCTTTCTTTCTCTTTTATTTTTTCCTATTTTTCCTTTTCTTCTTCTCTTTTTTATTTTTTCCTTTTTTTTTCCTTTTCTTCTTCACTTTTTCCTTCTCCTCATTCGTCTCCTGTCTGCTCTGATCTCTGTGCGTATGATGTCTTTTCGAAGTCGGCTATAGTCAAGACTCGCATAAATCAATTCGCCCGTTCAGCGTGGCCCACGTGTTCCAGTGTTTGAGGTCACCGGCCCAAAACGTTTGTTCCCCGATAAAAATCTGCCACTACTAATGTCCAAGCCCACAGACCATTCAAGAATCATAATAAATTTTCCCCCTTTCTTCCCTTGGTATAGTAACTCGGAGAGCCGGGTTCGAATTCCGGTTTGGCATGTTTTACGGCATATCTGACTTAATGTGTTATTTAATGGCGACATTTTTTTTAAATATATTGTTATTAATATTTTTTACAAAAATGTATTTCTGATAATTTTTGTCAAAAATGTATTGCTGGTAATATATATATATATATATATATATATATATATATATATATATATATATATATATATATATATATATATATATATCCAAAATAGGATTGGTGTATACGGAATAAATTGCAATAACCAACAATTACTATTCTTAAAAGAGTGTTCAGTACAGATTGGAGCAAATATAATTATTTATTTAAAAATCATAATATAAATATGTTATAAAATCACTACAAAAATAGCCATTTTGTTTCATCACTTCTGGTGTCTTGTCAAGTGATGATGTTGAACGTCAACACCATCACTTGATAAAACACCAGAAGTGTTGAAACAAAATGGCTATTTCGAATAACTAGTCACACACACACACATATATATATATATATATATTTGTGTGTGTGTGTGTGTGTGTGTGTGTTTTTCAAAAAATGCATTGCTGGTAAAAATTTTCCCAGAAAGTATTGCTGGTATTAAGACCTATTTTTATACTTTCATAGTGTTTTGACTTCTTTTTATGCGGGGGGATTATTTACCCATAGCTAAGACCATGGCAGGTACTACCACCCCCAGTCCGAGTGGGCCTGGGAACAGCTGCAATTAAGAGGTGGTTCCATGCTCCGCAAAACTTCCTGACCAAAGGCCTTGCTGTCGAATGTAGTTTATCGTCTTACCCAGGACTCTGATGTGCTCTCTCGTCATACGCAGGATGGTCGAATTCCGGTCGGGTTCATTGCGTAGTAGGACTTGTAGAAAAATCTTTGCTATCCTAAAAAACAAAAAGAAATCGACTCAGCTACGATGAACTTTTGAGGATCAGGCATAGCTGAATAATGTCTTTAAGTGAAAACCTTAAGGGAATCGTCGTCAAATCCGACGTGATTTAAACGACTCAGCTATGGAGAACTAAAATAAATAAATATACTGTTTAATATATAAACGTGTGTGTGTGTGTGTGTGTGTGTGTGTGTGTGTGTGTGTGTGTGATCGGATGTTGTTTATGCGTTACTACAGTTTTCATCCGATTTCAATGATTTTTTTTTAATAGATAATTCCTC